AAAAAACAACGATTCTTCTATGAAAAATATGATGAGCCGTTAAGTTTTTCGCATAGGTAATTGAAATTAATGTCATTTTGTTATAAACCGGACTTCAAGAAAATGCATTATTCGTACCTTTCGGTTTTAGGGGAACAAAGGGATATTTAATCTCATTCGATGTACTAAAATTTTTCAAAGGAGTGTTAGCAGTCATTCGAAAGCATATATCTCTCGATGCAACTCCACTTGGACGAGATTTCGAAACACCCTTTTAGAACTCTGTGAAATCCAAAATAAAATTACGTTTTACATTTTCTTCATTTTTATTACGTGTATAGCACAACTTTCTGGAAGCACCACAAGCTTCTGATCGTGTAGAAGAAGTCTCGTACGGTTTGCGTCAGTAGTTTCCTATGGAGTTTCCTTCAAAGTGAGGAAAAACATTTAGAATCAAAGAACAGGTTGCACCGCACATATATAACCCGTCAGGTCATTGATCGATCGCCCTCCACCCGTAGCATATCTAGTTTAACAAGCCCCTCCGAATATGTGGGACTCGGTATTTTTTATTTTTATACACTGGTACATATGTCTGATAATCATTATTTGAGCCACGCATGTCAGTGGTCTGTCAATGAGGGCTGACTTATAGAGCCCGATACACGTGTTTCGATCTTGCGATCTCGTCTGTCGGGCAGTTGCCCTTTCTCGTCTTTTTCTAATCTCTGTGAGTGCTCCAGTCCTCACAATAAGAGTTAGCGACGACGTACGTTTTACACTCTATGTCCAGTGAGGAACTCACCAAACACAGAGATCGAAACACGTGTATCGGGCTCTATAAGTCAGCCCTCATTGACAGACCACTGACATGCGTGGCTCAAATAGTGATTATCAGGCGTATTGAAATTTGAGCTGTGGTCTTAAGAAAACACTCGAAATAAAAGATATGTTATATTAAATATACTAGCCACGAGCATTCGAGTGTACAACACTCTGTGTTTGGTGAGTTCCTCACTGGACATGGAGTGTAAAACGTATGTCGTCGCCAACTCTTATTGTGGGGACTGGAGCACCCACAGAGATTAGCAAAAGACGAGAAAGGGCAACTGCCCGACAGACGAGATCGCAAGATCGAAACACGTGTATCGGGCTCTATAAGTCAGCCCTCATTGACAGACCACTGACATGCGTGGCTCGAATAATGATTATCAGACATATTGAAATTTGAGCTGTTGTCTTAAGAAAACACTCGAAATGAAAGACTGGTACATATATTTATGCAAATTATTTCTCTGAGAAAATTGAGCTGCTTTCTTTGCTCTTCAGGCGAGATGCAGTGTGCGATCATGCCTGCCGCCAGACTGATTGGCTCTCCTACAGAAGATGACAATCAGCAGGTGAGTTTTTGTCTGAGACAGTTTTCAATTTTTCAACTTTGGAACTTTCAGCGACAGTCGAACCTACCAGTTAACAAATTTGGGCCGCAAACTTCATCAGATTAGCATTTCAAAATATATTGTATTCTTATACTATGCAAAAATATAATAATTAATTTGTGATAACAAATATAATAGCGTGTAGTAGAAAACGTGTATATATAATATAAGATATCATAAATATTATGAATAAGCTGACACATTGGACACATTGTTGATCTGTCTTCACATGGTTTTTTTTAACTGTGCCAATGCCAGTACTTTTAGCCTTCAACTCGTTTTTGCCTTCTTGAGCGGTGTAGGATACTGGTTGAGCGAATCTCCTTGTTATCTCGAAGATAGCCTGGCTGGAGCGTTTCATAGGGCATTGTGGCACTTTATCGTTATCTGAGCGCCTTTTCGACCTTTTGTAAAGAACGTGCTTCTTAATCTTTTTCAGCGTTCAAATAATTGTTTGATGGCACAATTTAGAAGAGTTCAAGTGGTATATTTCGTGCTTAAAAAGGCTTTCTTGCTGCGTTGAAAAAGCAAAAATAAAACTTTGTCTCCCATTGGGAGAATTCTCGCTGGGTAAAGCTCTTTTTGAGGAGTTTCAGTAATCAATCAATATATCAAATCTTAAAAATTCCAATAAATCATTTAGTTAAGTTATGCAGAACTGGACCACTCCTATATCCGCTCATCACTTCGATTAATTAAGAAAAAAGTATTTTTTGACCGTTTTGATGTTCAAACAATCAATAGATAGCTTGAATCAAATGAATTCAATTAGTGTATTTCACTTCTAATCAGCCCTTTTTCGTTGCACTGAAAGAGCAAGAATAATAACTTTTTCTTCATTCAAAAATTTCACGCTGACCAATGAATCCTTCTCATTGTTTCCAAAACCAAACGGTAGATCAAATCCCAAGAATTACAATAGTCTTTTAGGTTTTTTCAACGGACTTTTTAGTGCTGCTTTGGTTAGGGAGAAATCTTTGATTGAGAAACAAAAATTTTATTTTACCCTTTTAGCGCAATAAAAGAAGATGACATAAATCAATAAATTCTTTCTATCTAAACTATTGAATGGCTATTTTGATTGAAAGCGACCAGAAAATACGTTTTTCCAAGGTATCTAAGTGAGGAGCGGATAATAAAAGTGATCCAAATTTGCGAAGCCCAATCTTCTTTTGGCTGTTACAGCGTATTGAGTGGCTTTTTTTAGAAAACAAATAAACCGCTGAAATTCTTAAACTTTAATCTATCGACTGATTATTACATCTGAAAAGGAAAAGCTTTACTCAGCGAGAAATCTTTGAATGAGTAACAAAAAATTATTTTTGCTCTTTTGGCGCAACAACAAGGCTTTTTTAGAGATGAAATACAATGCTCAAATTTCCTTGATTTACGCTATTAAATAATTACTTAGTCGTTAAAAACAAGCGCAAAATAAGCTTTTTTTGAAGGGTCGAAACGGCGCTCAGACAACGAAAAAGTATCGGCGCTGTTGTTGATCGCCGGAGAAGATTGGGGGATGGAGCTCGGCTCTTAGCGCACCGTGACAAGTATCACAACCAATCGCCCACAGCGTTTCATTGTAAAAATTTATATAATATAAATAGTATAACATTCAACTTTGAAAATATGTCGGTGCTACTTAGTTATGAGGGACCAAATGAAAACCGATCGCATTCGCTAAAAAGGAAGTTTTCGTAAGAGTGTCAGTAGTCATGGGAAAGCTGAAACTTCAAACTACAGCCACAGTCTCCGGTTTTCGAAAAAGCCTTTCTTGACGTTGCGCAAAAGAAGGTTCCTTGAGTGTAGATGAGCACATTTCTCCTCTGACACAGCTTTTTCTTTTGATCATTAGTAATCACACGATGGCATAATCGTTTCTGATCCCAGTGGTGTGCCTATATCCTGAAAGGACCGTTTCCTTGAAATGCAGAAGATATAATAAATTAAACTCTCATAAATGGACAAGTGGGGTCATTGGTCAATTAACGTGCCCGCTCTCGAAGCGCCTACATTCGATGACCCTATGATTATGGCTTTTCCTGCACATGAACGCGTAGAGAAATATTTTCTTTTTTCCATTCTTTCCAAAAAAAACCGACTCAGTGAAAGCTAGCATCTCTCGTGCTATCAAATAATCACAATGACTTATATAACTTTCGAAAATTGTTCAGTATTTGTTGGATTTGAATTTTTTCAGCAAGCACGTGTCTCTCTCATAGAAACGTAAGGCAATTTTTGGCACATGGTCTTTCTTTTTATCACAGATATAAATAGGTTTTGTTTATGATATTGTATAATATAGTAATAAGGTTATGTTTGTGATATTTTGTCTTTTTTTCATAAGAACGAAGGCCTTCTAACGTATGAACTATACTCGTAAATATCAATAAGCTTGTTGCGTAATAAGTGATTTTCTACTAATTCGGGCACAAACCGTAGTTTTCTTTCTGCTTTTACAGCGCTTTATACAAACTTGTTGGAAAGCTGACTTGGGCAAAGACACAAAGCAAACCTTATGTGAAACATTATTTTATTCTCACTGCAGCAACACAACAAAAGAGGCTTTTGAACAAAGGAGCACATTATTCAAGTCGCCGAGATATTTCTTCTAACAAAAAATGTCTTCAATCGTTCGTGCGCTAGTCTGAATACACATCGTTCACAGTAGCTAAGCGAGAGTTGACGCTGCGCGGCACGACGAAACGCATTTTTGGTCCTTAACCGGTTGGCTTCCCCAGGCCCAAACTGGGCGTGTCTAACTGGCAAGAGCTCCAGTCACCAACATGGAAACGGATTCACCCCCTCCTTTCTCTGCAACTCTGCGACTTTAATCTCAACACGGCAGTCACTGTCTGTCTCACTCCTCTCTGCCACTCGGCACCCGTCCATCGGGAACAAGGTTGATGATTCGATCCCTTACCACAACACTTCTCTGCAGTTTTTCTGGTGTTATCGTCTTGTTTTCACTCCAATATGCTCGGATCACTTGTACATAAAATCACACCATTTCTCATGTAGTAATATCGCAGCGCGAGAGACCAGTGTATATAATTAATTTTTCGCAATTTATTCAGCAATTTAGCAATATACAACAATAGGCTTCAGTAATCTGGAACTTATGACAATTTAGTATATATGCATCTACGTTCGACGTCTACGATTCATGTTTTGTGTCAAAAAGTAATGAAATGTTATGCAACTGAGCGTTTTTTTTTGCTGTGATAACTATGTTGAAGGCGCACCGATAATATTCGACTTTGAAAAGTTAATATTAAAAAAAAACTCTAGTGAAGTGCTGTGATAAGGAATCCAAGTAGCAACCTTATTCCCCGGCGATTGTGCGCCGAGTGGCAAAGATGAGTGAAACAGATACTGATTGCTATGCCGAGGTTAAAGTTGCAAAGGGAAGGGAGAAAAGGTATAGCCGTTCCCATGCTGGCGGTGAAAGCCCTTGCCAGTTAGACACGTCCGCTTTGGGTCCTCGAAAATCAGCCGTTCAAGAATTCTTTATATGACATTCTTAGCAATAGTATGATGCTATGACTGTTTATCCAATAATCTTGAGTAATGTGAAAAGCTCTGAACTTCGCGCCGAAGTTGAACCCGCATCTCACTTCTTTCAAGGTGCATGCTAACCACTGCACTACCAAAGTCTCCGATCGGTTTATACTCTTTCTGCCACACAGGATTTCAATTCTGCTAACAAACAACTCGGAAATGGTGATCGAGGTTGAAAGTTCTGCATATTGCTCAGCACTATTACTCAGTTTATTATTTACAGGCTATTGGTTATCAGTCATATTCGATTACTGATTGGTTGGCATAAAGTCATAAATACTTATGTAGTTGAAATGGCCATTTTGACAATCCTTGTAAGCTAAGAACACAACAGTTGGCCTTACTCCAAAAATGTGCCGTGAATTCATTGCAAAGATTATATCCCAGGAAAATATTGGCAAAAAATACGCAGTTGAACGATACCGAAATCATGCAACTACAGTTACTTCTGGTTAGTTAATTTGGTATTTATTGCTCTAGTGCCAACACTTATGGAACAACTTGGGCGATCTTTTTTTATTACGACATATCAACACATCAATCATTTCTGTCATAGGCTGGAAATAAAGTACTGTCATCAACCAGTGAAAGCAAAACAACTCGTGTACGACGAGGATGTTCCTGAAAGAATCCTTGCGTAGCTAAAGTAAGATTGGACAGAATAATACAAATTCTTTCGAGATGGACTCAAAAATTTGAGCCAAACCAACATCAGGTTTCCAAAGCAAATTCCAGATCCCTTCTCTACTACCACTAAGGAGATGTTCGAAAAGAGAAGGGAACTTTTTCATTCAGGCTCTGAAGAAGGCGCATTCGCCGAAACGTCAGCCACAAGGAAACGCGAAAGCCCATCGACCGGAAACAAGAACGATCGATTGGGGAAAAAGATACCAACCCCGTGAAGCTTTAAATAAAGATTACTTTTCTAAGCTTTCTTATCATTTTCAAAGAGAAGAGAACTGGTGTTCGACTTTACAGTAACACACCTCTTTAGCTTGAATAATATGCGGCAGCTCTGGAAGATCTCCATAAGATGATTGATATGAGCTAAAAAAGTCATGAAAAAATCCCGCAGATAACGCTGCAATTATGTGCTCCGGTGAACATTCTGATGATCTCTACTGCCAAATCCCGCACTGATAGGGAATCGTTAGCAAAAGAATTCTATGCCAATTTTTTTTTCGCTTCTCGACCATCGTCTCAGTCTCCAAAATTCCAACTGGTGAAAAATCAGCCAAAATTTTAGCCTCCGAAGTTCGAGTTGCTATTGAAAGAAGATTTTTTGCACAGTTATTCTACCTAACAGAAGGGATCCTCGTCATTGGTGCTCAATAAGCTTTTTAGGAGTACTTTACAAGCTTTTCACATAGATCATTCTTTGGCCCAAATCGAAGATTTTGATGAGATACAGCCAGTTTATAGACCAAGATTCCGGAAAGAATTCAATTCCATGGACCACATTTAAAATGTGTCGCGAGTCATTGAATTCTGTTAAGAATACCGCTTGCCCCTTATTCAATCTTTATTTAATTACGAGAAAGTTTCTGAGGTATTCCAAGAGAATTCAGTCCTCTTAACGATCGTCGATCAAGGTGCGGACTTATCGTGTAAACGATCATTAGTTGACTGTTATCGAAATGGCGTAAAAAAATACGGCTTTTGCATAGACTCCTCTACCATATCTATAGAAAAGCAGTTTGACAAGGTGACACTGTGAAGCTAAAGCCATTCTTTGCTGAACTACAATGTATTTTCACTTTCTTAATTCACGCTTCGAAAATGATATCGTTAAGCAAACAAGTGGAAAAATAATCAGAACTATCGGTCGGTTTATTGAGAGGATAATGTTATATTTCGTAATACAGATCTGATTGATATCATTTTTTACTCACGTCAACGGTCGAAGATTAGGGACTTGCTGTATATATATAAACCGAAGACGATGTGGAGAAAAGCTTTATTTATAAACGATAGTTGCTGAACAAATGATATTATTGGGCGAATTAGCACTAGATGCCTCATTGTTTACAAGGAACACGGAAGAAAAGTGTGATGCTCGTTTTTGATAAATTAGCTGAACGATATGGCTAAATCCGTCACGCGATAGGAATGAAGATTGTGGAAACTCTGAAGAAGGCGACTTCCATCACTTACTAAATATGATGTAGATGGTACAAAAACTCAAACAGATCCCCGTAAAGTTTGTAATATTCAGGAGATCACACGACGACTACGAATAAGTTTTTGCTGGCAACATATAACAAAAGTAAGAGATGAAAACACGAGCTCCATATTACTATGGTCATTAACAAAACGATTGGCTGAGACGATATTCACTTCACAATAAAGTATTGTTCAAATGTCACTTTGGCCTACCAATAGAACAGCGCATTGATTTATCATACTCATATTAACCCTTTAGGCACGACAGGGCACACGTTGTGAGCAACTGTAAAGGCGACTGATCCCGGCCATCGGGAGCAAGGCTGCTGGATCCTCTCACACGAAATTTTACAGCGGTTCTTCTGGTGTTGTTTCTTGGTGTCGATTTGTATTCATGGCTCTTCTATAGACCTCTACCGCTGTTTGTAATCAGTAAAAGGATACTTTAAAGTGTTTACTGTGTTATCTTATTGTGTTCTTCGAACTGCTTTATTGCTGTTATTTTATGCGTCAAAATGTTATATGTAAATATGCTACGTGGTTCTTTTCGATTATCCGGTAGGTGATATTGAAACGATCCCTTGGGTGGACAAAGTTTTTTCATAAGAGTGCTAGTAGTCATTCTGACGCATAAATCTTAGCGGACTGTTATACATGTTCACTTTTTGAAAAGGCCTTATTTTATCGCTGTGGCATTCACAATACGGTTATCTTTGACATGCTCCACGCACTTTTATTATTATTGCGCTCATAATTCACTGAACAAAACTCTTTCGTTGCACTGCTGGTATGGTTCGATAAATCTCTCTCGGATAAGTCAAAAAGGTTTATTTTGGTTATACAGAAACAAACAATTATTCGACCTCATTCACTGGTCAGTAATTTTTCATAAGAGTATTAATAATCATTAAAAAGTAAAACTCCTGGCTAGAGCCGTATGTGAACGGTTTCATAAGGACCTTTATACAACGCTGTAAAACTTAACATAAAATTATGTTTCACATCGGCCCTCAATTCAACTATTGCTTCGCTGAAAGTACGACAAGGGCATGAAAATGTAGAAGAAATCTTTCAGTACTAAAGCGAGAAGTTTGATCTGGAGCTTCAAGAATTTTCTACTGAAATAACAAAAATCGCACTTACCTAGGGACCGCGGAAGGTTCAGTAGATTACCAGCGAGTTGAAATGGCCACATCGGTTCTGGGCAACGCTCCTCTCCACTCTTACCCCATAGAATAGCCAAAATCCCCTTGCAGACGTATGCGAATTTGATTCGTTTCCCTGCTGAACTTGAACGAAAGTTCTTTTTGAAAAATGGCATAACGCTAGAAATATTGAAACTTGCTCTATCAAATGATTATTTATAGTCAAAAAAGAGCTCCGTCCGGCGAGAAATATTCGCGTGCGCAAAATTAACACTATTTCGAACGTAGCATCATTATAGGGGGGTCTCCTCGAAGACCAACTACGTACCGTGTTAGCCAGAATTTTAAGCTTCCGAATGGCTACTAACACTTCCATGAATAAGTCCTGTACAGCGAATGAGGTTAGATATTCATTTGATTCCTTGTAATCGAGAGAAACCGTCAAAAATTTGTTTCTCCTCTATAAAAACTTTTTCAGCAGCGCTGTAGCAAAAAATAAGTTTTGTTTTCACACACGCGTATCGGTGAAAGGGTTCTTTCCTCGAATCATGAATAGCCATTCATTGCGTAAGTTTCGACAGTTCCAATCTTGTGCTTATTTTTTACGAAGTTTTCAGTCCAGTGTAGTAGAAAATGTAAGGCAGAGTTTCACATACGCTGCACATTTGCTTGTCGGCTAAGATGAGTACGTGACTGTGGGTATATTCGCGACTAATCAGTCGCGCTGGCACAACTCACATGAGTAGTGCGACTTTTGTTATTGAATGTAGGATTTTATTCCCTTTGACAAAGAAGTATAGAAAAACTTATGACTCTGATACAACAAAATTTCCTCTACCCGCTCATATGCCTATGGCACTTCCAGCGAGGATTGAGGGCGAGTGCATGTGAAACATAATTTTGTTCTGAATGTTACAGCGTTATGTATAGGCCTTTTCAAGAACGAGCACTTACGTCATTCTATCGATACTCATGTTTCCGGATGACTACTAGAAACGCAATGGAAGATCTTTGTCCAACAAAAAGGGCTCTAATCCTGCAGATGTCTAGATTGAATGCGACAATCCACGAGGAAGGAGCCATGTTTGTCGACTAAATGTTATGTTTGAGAAAAGTCACAACAAAGGTGACAATAATTAGTTCTTCTCGTTGAATTTTTTTACATACTTTACATAATCGCGCTGTAAAGACCGTTCAAATTGCAGTCGAGGCTGCACATTTGAGTGGATCATGCAATAGTTCTGCGTATTAATACGAAAAACGCTTCATTACATTTGATTTTGATTTCAGAGTGCTCTGTTTACGCTCTTGTCGATGGCCATAATATACGATCCTTTTATGGGCAATTTTTGTACTGTCGTAGCAGCCAGTATGATGATTGCTCCAATTAGTGGCAGTAAGTTTGAAAGAAATGCGGATGGCACACTGGGTACAGGTGCCTTGCAAAAGAGTCAAAATCGTGTTCGACCTTGCACTATGCGCCGATCAAGCTCACCTGTCTATCCGGCGCTCGGAAATCTGTGCCAGTCTTGGCTGGAAAGAAAATGCTTGGTGTACCTGTTGACCACCAAAAGTTATTTATGCGCCTAATATGCAATTAATCATTCACATGTGTTGCATACACTGCGCAACTCTCTGGTATGCTCGATGCCAAGCACTTCGTTGTTTATCCTTTATGTTCTGGGAAGTAGTCATCTTCTTGTGTAGATTATTTTCAAGAAAGCAATGCTCCCTACTGATATATCCCGTGTCGCAAGAGATAAAATAACTTTCGAAGACAACAATAT